TTTCGGAAGGCCTGGAGAGAGGTGAGGGTCCGAATCCCTGCGGGGAGTTCATTCCAGAGGGCTGCATTTAGGCTGCATTAATGGCTGTTTGCAGCATCTTGTGATCACACAACTGCATTTTACAATGCTTTTGTGAAAAATTGCATTTCCTTCACACACACCCCCTTCCCGGCAAAATTGTACCCATAACAACCATTGGTTCACTAACCTAATGACCACCATAAAAAAAAGATCGTAAAATTGGGTCGTAAAATGTGATCAACCATTTTACGACCATCACCAGTTACCACCATGATGAGCAGGCTCCATTACAGTCGTAGCTTGAGGACTACCTGTATCAAAAAAAATAAATCATGGTGGTGTATAATTAAACAAGGCAATAAAGCAATTCTACGATCCTGAAATACAGTACTGCCATTAGTTGGGATCTGTAATAATTGTAAGCACAATTATAAAAATTGCCGTGATGGTTGTGGATTTTTCTCTTTTCATTTTGATGTGTTCTTTCCCACAATTAGCTAGTTGCTTTTGTAACAGGCTCTCTATTGTACACAGACCCTGACACTCTTGGCTCCAATCCTGGATCTGCAGATGGCCATTTTTGCAAGTTTTGTACCCACATAAGCGATTAGTAATTGTATACAATCTCTCAGCCAAATTAAAAGAATGACAGGAAAGTTGTTATGGTTATCTTCTTGTTTTTCTTTGCTTTCTATTTATTGTAAAGTGACGAATATTGTAGTAGTGCCTGACTTGAATCAACATTTCTTTAGTACAACCTTTGGGGATATGAAGAACTTTATTTATACCTGTCATTTCTGTGGTAATTCTTATAGCAATCTTATATTTCTCCACCTTCGATAAAAGAAGGGTGTACAAATAAATTGTAAGCAATTTAACGTACACTTTTGTTCCTAAACGTTTCCATCTCAGTTGAGGAGGGAGGGGCATACAAAAAAAATGTACTTCGATGTTTTACTGATTGAGGAATGTTGAAATATTTGTGTTTTAAAAGAAATAAAACTTTTGAATATAAAAAAAAGAATGAAATATATATATATATATATATATATATATATATATATATATA